CTCAGATGTAATTTGCTGTGTGAGTTCTGGCAATTTTAAATGACATTGCACTTTTTAATTTTTCCAAAGGCTCAGCAGCAAATTTGTCCCAATCAAGAAAGCCTATTATTAATTTACAAGGACAATTGTAGGAGTCTTTATAATTTCCCTGTGCAATTATTTGCTATAAATTGCTAATAGTGAAATACATGAAGTTTGCAAGAAACAGCAACTGCTATTTATCTAGACAGATCACTCAGCCCAGATCTTGAATGTTGTCCAGAGGTTCTAGTGCTAGTGACCGCGTAAGAAATATAACCAAGCTTCTGGATGGTTTCTAAAATGTTTCACACTGATAGTACCAAAAAGGTAGAAGCATTAAGAGCTATTGTGAAGGGTATGCTGGCCTCTAGCAGATTCCTTCACTTTGCTTGTATACAGCTGAGCTTTGGACCCTGGACTTTGGAATAAAAAGACTCTTTGTTCATCACTGAATGGCATTAGGCATGGGCTTCCTAAGGGGCCACCATGAAGCCTAGCATGAAGAGCGCAAACATTATCCAGAAAGCAAAGTGAGAATGTATGTGAAGAGGCGATGGACAAATGTTGCTATATGTGCATTGCTATATGTTTGTATATATATTTATTACATATTTGGGGAATTTGCTTGCAGAGTATTCTTTAGTCAATTTTATCCATGCAGTGTATTTTGCAAATGTATGCCAGCGCTGACTATGTGTGCACATACAGACACTGAACATGTGTGTGTATGTACTTGTGTCTGCAGCAATTGAAACACCTCAAAAGGCAAGTTTTTAAAATTTAAAGATCCAATCCAGGTAAAATTAAAGTTGCAGGTCACTCAGTCCTGATCTTAGTTGCATGTCGTGCAGTACCATTTGACTGAAGAGACTTTGTTACTATGTGAATGATAGAATGCAGAACATCTACAAATAGCACACCCTTATTCCAATAATGGAGAAAGTTCACCGGCTTAATTCTTCTGTACTTCGTAGCCATAGCTCCACTGTGTGTTCAGTATGTCTAGTCTCTTTTCACTATAACCAACAGAAGCACCATACAAAAGTCTTACAATGGATGTCTTAATCTCTCTGTGTGCTTTTAGAGCATTATTTTGAATTCCATCATGCAGGCTTTTTTTTTTTTCTTTCCTCTTCTGAAGTTTTATTACAACAACAGAATTCCCAGGGAGCTTTAGGGGCAAGGTTCGCATAATATTGCCCTAAAGTTTTGCTCGAGGGGTGGAATCTGCACCCCAGTCCTGATCATCTTTTTGTGGTGTTTCTCTTTCTGAAAGATGCAGTGCGCGGTCTTACAGAGTTGTTAACTGTGTACAGATTTTTTTATTGTTTACCAGACAGTGCACATCTACGAACCTTTCATGATGATTTCTTTCTCTGACCTCTCTGTGACTAGGCATCTTGTTCCTTAACACTGAGGGAGGCTGAAAAATGCTTGAGTTGCTCAATGTGTGCCTTCTATACCAGTTTCAAAATGGCTTATTCTTCTGGTTTCCATGGTGACAATTAACACTGTTACAAGGCATTGTTCCAGTCTCCATTTGGGCAGAATTTTCGGGTGTGATTTTTCACACAAAAAATGTTTTATATAATTTTTCAAAGAAAAAAAAAAGAAATAAAAAGGCACAGTTTATTATAATGTGTCAAAAAAATGTGTCTCAATCAAGCCTGCTTGGATTTCTTAGAATATTGTTATCAGGGGAAGTAAGGTTTTAACTTGCTTTGTTTTGGAATTCAACATCTCATGGTTTAAATATCTTTGCCATACTTATTCACATACAAATACTGCTGCCTTTTTTAAAATTCCACTATTTTTCCCTTGAGAAATATTGATCGTATTGAGTGAGAAGTAATAAAAAGCCAAAATTCTTTAACTTACATAACAATGTTTTGGATTTCTTTTGAGTGGATTCAGGAACACAAAACCAGCCATGCATGCACACAGCTAATCATGCTGTAAATATTTTGCAGTTTTTCCAGTATGTTGTGTTTTTTTGGGGGGGGGGTGTCCCCAGTTTTTTAATATGACAGGTGTTGTAGGAAATTAAATATTACTCATTTATTTATTGTTGTGGCTGTTGCAAGAAACCTGAGAATTTAACTTTCTTAATCTCATTTTTGGGTTTTAAACAGTAATGTATATCCAGCATCCACAAACTGTCACAATGGAGCAGCCTTTCCTCACTGAAAGCTGAGGAAAGAATGAATCTGAAGATTAAATTATCTTCTCACCACAGGATTAAGTAGTCCTGCCAGAGTAAGGTTGTGCAGCACTGATACAGCTGGTAGCTAATTTTTCCATGGAACTGCCTAGAGTGTAGGTGTTTAATGGATTAAAAAATAACATTAGCAATAGCATCTCGTGCTATCAGTTCTCAAACTGTACCTTTTGTACATTGAGCTCTTCCCTTAACTTAAAATACACGCTGAATGTTAAATATCCAGGAAGAAGTGAAACAATACTGACTCTCAGTCACATACCAGTACGTCTAATAATGAACTGAATTCTTTCATCTTTTACAGTTACAGTATAATGCATTTTCTATCAATCAGCACTTTCATCATGCTTGTTTATACAGTAGGTTACACGGTGACAAAGATAGAGCATGTACATAAAATCTAGCTTATTTATTTTTTAATGTAATAACCTTTTATAACATCTGTCACACTATGTGGATTATGCTGCACTAAATTATTTTATCTAGTCCAAAATTAAATGAAATGTCTTCTCCTTCTATGTTAGCAAGAGCATCGTAGTTACAAAACATGCAATATATTTTATTTCTCCATCAGTCCTGCACTGTCCAGGAACAGCCCCGGCCCCAGTCCAGGCAGCAGCAACTGCTGGCCTAGAACAGGTGATGAGTACTAACTGGCTGTGCCTGCACCAGTGTCACACAGCTAGAGGACTCCCTCAGTCTATTAATTCACTTGACAAAAGAAAGGGAGTCGCATGAACTGGATTTCAGTGCCTAGCAAATTGGACTCTGGATTCCCCTTGATATTACATGTACTTATGGAAATAATTATGCAAATCCTTCTCAGCTATATCATCTTTAAATAGAAATCAGATTACATAAAGAAGATTGTAATCTCCTCCAGTAACCATTCTAGCTGAAAAGGCAATAATACAGGACCAAGAAGCATACTTGTTGAACATTTTAGTCCAATAAAATGGTGTTGCCTCTTGGTGGGTCCAGTACCCTGGATAGGGGAAATAGGTATCAGCCAAACCTGGTTGATACCTATTGTTGTACATTTCTGAAACCTTAGCCACAGTACACTAAGTATCAAAAGGCAAGTTCTTTATAAACAATTCCTTGTTTTTTACTATGCATATTCATGTAATTTTGGATCCGCAGACACCTGATCAGTGTTCATTAATAATGAGAAATGGTTTAAATCACTTCATTTAAAACATTTGCTCTATGATCCACAAATGACTAATATTTGCTGAAGTTTACATAATACAAATGATGTGCATGTGTTGTGTAAATGAGAGATTAAAATATGAAAGTAACAATATGCAAACATATGCATGGAAATGCTGAGGACCTGTTAGCTGAAACAGTGATTTCACACCTTTATTATTTTCTTTAAGCTGCCTGCAATTGTATTTTTGTTTTGTTTTCCTACAGAGCATGTTCTTGGATCTGGCAAAGGCACCCAGTTTTAAGCATTCCTTACTCCATTTAAAATTTTTATATTTAGCCCAGTTATTAACATTTTCAGTATGAGCTGCTGTAGCAGTTTTCTTGGCTGAATTTAAAGAAAAGAAAGCTTAATGTTTAGGATGCAATTTGCTAATAGCTATGCATAATTTACATATGTCTTGTAAACACCTTTGTAAGAATATGTGCTGAACTCTCCTCCTTCAGTAAAAGGTGCATTTTTGGCCATATCAGAAGTTCTGTTTCTATGAATGTTTTATACACCAGAGGGAGAGGTAATCAGCTTAACCATATGTAGGGTATGTATATGAGTGGATGCCTGTGTGTTAAATTTTGGGTTTTTTGATTTCCTGTACCAGCTACTAAAACATAATTAATCACTACAGTAACTTGTATTTAATACTCAATTCAGGTTTTCAGAGAATACAGGTTTTAAAGAGATCTATTTGCCAATGTGTCTGTAGATTAGAACACAATTTTACAGAGTATGTAAGGAACATACAGCTAAAATATTTAGAAAGTCATATTAAAGTAGTTTTGAAAGAAGCTTCTGGTTTTATTCCTGTTTTCTCTGACCGTTGGTTGTTTTTTTTTTTTTCCTTAACAATAAATAACAGGGCAGGAAATAAAAGGTTGTTTTAGCTTGAAGAAGCTATTGGACTGTATGAACATTGTGGCTGTTCTCGTTTGTGTGCCATTTCACTGCTCCTGTTGGTTGATGCAACAAAAACCAACTTACTGGTATTGTGTTGTAAGGGAGTTATGTCTAATTGTTTTTCTAAGGTGAAACTCTCGCATTTTCACATGTAATAGCATTTCAGGCCCGTATACAAGACGTAGTCCAAAATGAGAGTAAGAAGAAATAAAATGTGCAGGAAATATAATTATGACATTATTTCCTTGTTGTTGTTGTTTGGTTGGTTTTTTTCAATGGAGAGCCTCACTGTTACTTGCTGAAGTAGCATGTTTGAAAGATCAGATACCACTGACTTGAATGAGACAAAGGCAGATCAAGCTTCAGATGAGAGAGTGTTAGTGAATATTACTGTAGAAGTGAATATTATGAGTGAATACTACTATATGTAATCAATTGCTAACTGCCTGCATAGATATGTCACCTAGAAGACTACGTGCTTGGTACCTAAATCTCTTTATGATGTGTCATGAGAAGGTTGTGTGCTTAAAAAAAATAAAATTATAAAATGGCATAGTGAACACGGTCGTAACTGGGCACATAGACTTAAAGTTTAATTTAAAAAAAATTACCCTCTTTACAGTAGCTAATGTTATCTATTTCTTTTCATTTTAGAGATACAATGTAGAAATGTCAATCAGACACCCAAAAAAGATGGAACTGCTTAGTAAGGTTGAAGCTCTGAAGAAAAGTGGTGTTTTACTACCAAATGATCTCCTTGAAAAAGTGGATTCAATTAATGAAAAATGGGAACTGCTTGGGGTATTTGCATTTTTATTACTGTTTGTGGGTTATGTGTACATTTTTGTGTGTTGAAGTACGCTGTCTGTCTGATTTCTAATTTGAGGCACAAATATCTCTCTCTTTCAATTCACCACGTACATTTCAAACAAGCTACTCATGCTATTATAAAAACTCCATACTATTTTCCTCTTCTGTTGATTTTTTTTTTATTCCCTGCTTGTCTCCTGTCTGACTTTAATAATTTTAGTTCTTTAATACATAAAAAATGTAAGTAAAATATGCCATGTATTACGGGTATGCACCAAGTCAACTATAATGCAGTATATCTGATATACACTGACTGTCATGCTTGAGTGAATGTTAATAGAATTTATTCTGAAGGTACATGTTAGAGACATCTACTGTTTAACTATTTACTATACCCTTAAGATGAAAAGTGGGGTTGTCACTGCATATTTCAGGTCACACTGATGGCTCAAAAACAAATATGCAGATTCAGTACAAACCTGATTACCTGAAGCTAAGAATACAGCCAGGATATGTTTTGTGCTGCTGTATTCAGCTCACTTTTGACAAAAGCCAAAAAAGTTTCATGTAATTCATTTCACGCTATGATGGGCTGGGTCTCAGCCAAAGAGTGAGATACAAGAATCTGGCAAAAAAAGCAATATAGTGATTCTGTTACCCAGAGACCAGTGATGGCACCGTGCAGGAGACACTATTGTCCTATTGTTGTAAAACAGCTGAGAGAGAGAGGTCAAACTATATATTTTTCCATCCACTTCTCTCCTTAATTGCCTTCACTTCAAATCAAGGGTAAGATAAATTTATAAATTACTTTAAATGATTAATTATAGATGTGTGATATTAGCAATACAGTTACATTGCATAATTTTGCATGCTATTATCTTAGTTTAAAAAACATTTCTAATATATTATGAGTAAGCTATACATGCAACCTGCCAACAGCATTTTAAATACTGACTTGTGTCACTTTAGCTTATTTGGTAATGCAATAGCCATGTTACAGAGGGTGGGGCTTTTTTAGTTCAGCACAGTTGTTTCTAATCGCTTGATTATTTAAATGTGCAAATTGTCAGAAAATGCTAAAAGTTGCCTTATGACTAGTGAGCTTATTACTTTTTAATTTTAATCTGCAGCATCACCACAAGCTTTTTAAAACTATTTGAACATTAATAAATTTACTGATAAAAAAGGGACTTACTAACCTATTCTTTTACATCTGATCATGACAACTTGTGTTTTTAAAATAATTTCAGGTGTAAACCTGACATTTATGACTTTCAATGTATTTAATCAGGTTAATTCAGTGGCACAGATTAGAGCTGGTAGGATATAAAACTATGAGATAAGTAACTGATCATAATTCTGAAAATCTAGAAAAACTGTCTTAAAAAAACACGAAGCTCTCCACTTCTCAGTATGTTAAAATCAAAATATACCTCTGGATTAAGTTTTGCCATTAATTTCAGTATTTACAGAAAAATAAAATATAACTATTACAGTTTTCCTGCTAAACGCAATTTCATGAATAATAAGCAGAGTTTGATAGAGTTTTGTTTAATTTAATAAAAACCTCTGCAGAAACTAACGGCACTAGGCATAGTGTTTTAATTGGCATGATTACGTTTTAATTGGCATGAAAAAAATTAAAGACAAGGATTTTAACTTCTAACAATGGTAAAATAGAGGGATATGGTTTTTAATATTACTTTCATCTAAGGTGAACAGTGTGGAATGGAAATACATTAGAATGAAATGTCAGTGGTGCGTACAGTTTAATCTGTGAAATTTTGTCCCCTGTGCTGAATATTACTCTGTCTCAATTGCATATTAAACAACCCTATCAAGGCAGGCATTGGCATCTGCTGTGCTGACACAAATTGTGAATTAAATGAAATTGATGTCCTCTGTCGTATATTTATGAAGACGGACCATTCTCTGAAGTATTCTGTTTATGAAGAATTTATGATTGCAAACTGTTCCAGAACAAAAAAGTGGCAATAAATTCTTTTTTGTGACCCTACCCTCCAAGGGCATTGATTTCACCTCCTGCTGCTACTTTTGTAACAGCATAAAAACAATAGCTACTGCTGGATTCCACTGAGGGTCTTCAAATTATCAATATTTGCACCAAGAAAATAGAAAGGTGTTGCCAAGAAAGCATGTTTTTCAGTTATGATCTCCTAAAGACGTTATTTACAGAATGCCACGTAGTAGAATAGCGTCTGTTGGTCTAATTTTATTTGTGTTTTAAAGCTTATTTTTGGAAGCTAACTTCATTGTTATAAATTATATTCCAGTAACTTTCTGAAGCACGTATCTTCAACAGACAGCCATACTGGGTCACCTAAAACTGTATCTTCATGTTACAACAATTAACCACTGCTAATTATCAGTTTAAAAGGTTATTGGATGTGATTGTCAGTGTATATTCAATATTTCACAATCAGTAACACAGATCTAGTGTTTATAATAAGTGTCAGCCTGACAGCCACTTATAGGTCACATAAAGTACTGCTTGGCACAGAAGAAGCAGGCAACAGCATATCTCCCTTGTGATGTTAAAGGATTGCCTTTCAAAATACTGAAAAGGAAGGTAACTTTCTATCCCTGGCCTCTTCAGAATATTCATTATGCTCACAGTGTCCACTATCAAAATGTTATTCAATGGCTCTTTCATTAGAAATACTTTGAAAAGCTGTAGTAAATTAGTTTCATTAGCTATCGGAGGTGAATGTTTATTCTGGTCCATTATTTTAAAGTGGATGCTTAACATGGAGAACTTAAATCCAAACTTAGTTGCCTAAATAATTGGCCTGATATTCAGGAACATTGAGGCTTTGCAATTTCTAGCTTAGTGGTGTCTGAATGTGTTCATCCACTTTTAAAAGCAAACCAGCTATTTTGTGACCTTACTGCTCCTGTATAAAAACTCGGGGCTACAGCTTAGAAACTATGACCTGGCAGTTCATACCTCAAGAAATGTTTCAGTATTTCAGTGTTTCCCCAGAAACTTAGACAGTACCTTGGATAAGAGTTTGGTGAACTCAGTGCTTGTCGTATTTTCTGTTGCTGCCTAGAAACCAGTAACTCTCATTGTCATAAGCATCTAAAGCTATGGACAAATTCTGTAGAGTATCTACTTTAAAAAGTTATGTACCATTTTGTCTCTTCTGTCCATAGTTGCTTTTAATAAACATTGATTTATCATGCTTCCAGCAAAGTCGGTGACCCAGAGAGAACAGCAAAAGTGAGAAACAAGGATACAAAAAATGAAATTGATTGAAACGAGGAAACAAAGAATGAAGTTGATTGATATTAGTAGTAATTGTTAAAAAGCCCACATCTCTAGTCATCTAACAGTTGCTTCTTGTTGCACATTAACCTGTGTATGTTTTGGTACATAAGACTAATCTATGTTTTCTTTATCTGATGCATTAGAAAACCCTAGGAGAGAAGATCCAAGACACAATGGTAGGGCACAGTGGGTTAGGTCCACGTGACCTGCTCTCGCCTGAAAGCGGCAGCCTGGTAAGGCAGCTGGAGGTCAGGATCAAAGAGCTGAAAGGGTGGCTGAGAGATACAGAGCTTTTCATCTTCAATTCCTGTCTGAGACAAGAAAATGAAGGAACAATGAATGCTGAGAAACAACTGCAATATTTTAAGGTAATAAAAAAACAATCATAGTTTTCATAGAGAGACTCCTCTTTATGGTAGGATAAAATATTTCTCTTATGCGTAACATAATGCAATACATGTACATATGTAATAATATATTCATATTTTCACCTTCATTTATGTACTATGTGTTCATTCATGTGGATTTTCTTGAATCTTTGCAATAGTATTTATTCCTTAGACGTTTTGCAAAAGAAAGCTTTAGAGGGCTAATCACACTCCAGTTGGAAAAGCAATAGTATTCTTTCATTCTACTTCACTATAAAGCTGAGTTTTGTCACAAAAAGCTTCACTTTGAATTTTACTCCCTACATCAGTTAAATTAATTAATGTGTGGTGTGACCATCAGTTTAATAGTTTATTTATCTGCACGTATGAGTCAAGAATAGCCTATTTGAGGTCACGTACACAGAGATATAAATTTAGAGTACATGAGAAAACATTGAAGTTTGTGGTGAATACATATGTGGAAAAAGACATACGCACTATGAGATTTGCATTGATCTAGGCCACATCTTAAGCCTGAGCCTGAAGATTTATGAAAGGGAGGGAAAAGAATTGTAGTCAAAATGCTATATTCAGACAGATAAGCTCCTTCAACTGAAGGCCAGCATTCAGCTTTGCAACTGACTTAATGGAGGTTGTATGTTTTGTTCCATTCCCCAAAAGTACTGGGACCATTTATGAAAGAGGGCTATTAAGTTAGCAAGCAAACCTGGTAGAACTATGCGATTTTCTTCTCTTGTAGCTATCACTTCTCAATAAACCCTCACCTGAGTCATCACTACAGGTCACTTTACTCTGCAAGTGATCTTTGACCAAAGAATAAGAAAGGAATCATGAGTAATTGTTGAGCTTTAGAGGTAAAGAGGATTTTCTCTTCCACTAGTACATCAGGGTGTCTAGGACAACAGCACTCTTAAGGTGATGGACAATTTATTAAATACTCACCTCAAAGGGCATGTTGCAAACACTTCTAAACATACTTTTTTATACAAGTGTTCAGGAAAACAATGGCAGAAAAATCAGTCTTCCCAATTAGTCATTCCTTCACTCTTCCTTTTCCAATCATAATGATTAGTGAGAAGGTTGTGTTAATGCAGATAAAGTTACTAGGATTTTTTCAGGTTCCTCAGCATGTCCATTTGAATGCCATTTTCATTTTTCTTATGACATCTATATTATATTTTTTAATGATTTGTGGTCTTCTGCTAATGGGGAAAAATCATGCTGATTCTGTTTGTTCTACCAGCAAACTTCAAAGCTAGTGATTGGGAAGGACTGTTGATAGACCTGCAGAACTTCACAGCAACAGATCCATGGTTTCCATAGGAAATGATAAATGCTTTATATTTCTGTGGAAAATTATGGCATTTATTTAAGTGTGTAACTATGGATTTAAAAATCTAATTTAAGACAAACTTGGTTTTAAATATACATTTATATATATGGCTAAGACATTTTATATA